AAAGTTCAGTGCCACTGCACTTAACAAAAAATATAATGCAAATATTCAAGTTCAGTGCCACTGCATTTTACCAAATTAAATAATGCAAAGGAAAGTCAAAATTTGGATATTGCTAACATCAGCATATATGTTCAAATTTTACAAATATTGTACAATAATAACAATAGTAATAATAATAATATTTTACAATAATAATAATGTGTGAACATGCTGCCCGCCTTGAATTGACAACATCAATTCTAATTATTGGAAGCTGCAAGTCAACATGCTGTATCCTCGGTCATCTGCTGATGTCGTGGCATCGGTATTGGAGGTGTTTGATAGGTGATTTTTTGCCTTCGCCATATATATAATAGTGCACTAGCGACACATAGAAACATTGCTAATGCAACGTAGCTGGTTATTAGACTATGTGTCCCTGCACTAATAGCATCAGTTGGAAAACTGGAACTCTGGATGTGGCCTAATTTTCGTTGAATAAGTTCAAGCTCATGGATTGTGGGTGACAATGGTTTGACGCTGATGTTATTGCTCGCATATTGTTTTGTCCATCCTACAGATAGGTTCAATCTGGTGATCGATGCCTGCATTGAAGTAACCATTTTTTGATGACCTTGAATCGTAATGTGTTCATTTTTGATGATGCATTCAGGTTCTAATTTAATCAAACTACTGCCCACTAAAGTTAATTGAAATGCTTTCTTGTTGCATACTGCATTCATTTTGATGTTATTTATGGTTGCGTAAATCCATTGATTCGGATGATTTAGTTGATACCATACAGTTGTGTCCTTGAGCTGATACATATCGCATCTTGGTTTAGCTTGATTGTTAAATAAGTCAATTTCACAATTATTGACGTTTGACGATTCATGAAATGTTGCTTGTATGTTTGGACATAATAACTCTTCGTCACTTATCGATATGCATGCGTCCACTTGATGCTGTGTCATTGGTCGAAATTCATCATGATGCGGACTGATGGCTAGAAATTCTGTTGAAAGTTTCACTGATAAAAGTGTGTTATTTATAGCTGCCACAATTGGAACAAGATATAACAGTTGAAATTCTCTTGGATCCGTGAGAGGTAAGTCGATGCAAAAAATGACATGGCCCTTTGCCAGGATTCCGTTGATCTTCATGAGCTTATATACTTCGAGTAAGTTATTGTGGTGGATAGGTAACTGTAGGTGTGATGGAAGATGTGCCCTAATCATATTTGCTCACTAAGCTGTTGTGGAGTCCGCAGAAGAGGATTTATTTTATCGTGATGACTGTCGATTAGTACGTCCATAATTGATGAGTGAACTCTTTGCAGGTTGGATACCATCATGAGCATTTGCATTGACAACATAAGCATGTTTTGTGTTACGTGTATGTCGTTTATTGACTCATCTGTATACAACAAGTTATTGATGCGCTTTTCAATTTCTTCAAATTTGTCATGCATGTTTAATTGGTTCTTCTTAAAGATATTGATAGTTGAATCAACAAGTGACGTTTGATTTTTAACGAGTTGTTCCAGGTGATTGTCGTTCCTTTTAAGACCATTTATTGTGCTTGACATTTGTGCCGCGTAGTTTGAGTCGAGAACACCAAACAATGAATTTGCAAAATTTCCGACAATGTCTATAGCTCCTCTTGTTATTCTTTTTCTAACAGAGAGAAGATTAAGTTCCATTTGCAGTTCCTCCGTTATACGGTCAAAATAGTTGAGTAATACCTTGCAAGCAGTGTTATCCAATGCCTTGTCGCATAAATTGTTCAACCTTTTTGTTGCATCAGCTAAAATACTCATTTGTTGTTGGTATGGGGAAAGGTCAAAATATACAATCATTTTCCAATCAGCAGACATGATTTTGACTGGTTTAAGCTGCTCAAAATAAATGCCAGGTTTGTTGTTGAAGGTTGTTATGTTGACGGGACTACATAGTGCAAGTGGCAAAATGAGTAGAGTAATAATGGTGAGCAGCAACCCGGAATTCAGACATGATCGTTTTGTCGGAGTTAACCCATTGACTAATGATTCAGGCTTTCTGATGCGATTTAATGGAATTTTTACGATAAGCGACACGGGAGGTGACGTTGGAGTTTCTTGAGTCTGTTCTGATTCGATTTTTCTTTCAGTCATTTTTCCAAAGGTTGGATCTTCTAATTTATCGTCTTCAGGAAATAATGGAGCTAATCTATGCACCGGTCTTTTAAATACCCCCTTTTTTGTTTGAATGTCACAAACTCTCACTAAACCATCTTCGCCTTTGTAAACTTTGATGATGCGTCCTAAAGGCCATTGCAGAACTGGGACATTGTCTTCTTTAAGGATTACCATCGTATTGGTCTGTATGTTGGTGATGGGACCCTTCCACTTGTGGCGCTGTTGCAATTCGCTTAGATACTCCTTAGTCCAGCGCTGCCAAAAACTGTGTTTTAGCTCTGATACCAGTTGCCAGCGTTTAAGTAATTTTTCTTTAGAGTCACGTGCATGCACATCAACGCTTGAAGTGATTTCTTCACCTATTAAAAAATGACCTGGAGTTATTGCGTTCAAATCGTTTGCATCTGATGAGCTAGGAATAAGGGGTCGCGAGTTCAACACTGCTTCAACTTCAATAACGACAGTTTCAAGCTCTTCATATGTAAGTGATGCTGTTGAAACATTTTTGACCAGCAAATATTTGGCAGATTTTACTGCTGCCTCCCATAACCCGCCGAAGTGTGGTGACCTTGGTGGAATGAAGTGAAATTCTATGCCTTTCGTACTGCACATTCCTGCAATTGATTCCTTCGCTCGATCAGCGTAGATGACGTCAGTAAGTTCCTGCAACTTGTTTTTCGCTCCAACGAAGTTGGTCGCATTGTCGCAGTATAACGTTTTACAGCGTCCTCGTCTTGCTATGAAGCGTTTTAATGCTCCAATGAATGCATCTGTGGTCAGATCAGTCGCAAGTTCTAAGTGTACGGCCTTAATTGCAAAACAGCAAAAGACAGCGATATACGCCTTTTGTGGACGCTTGCCTCTTGTTTTGTAATGAACCCATATTGGGCCACAATAATCAACTCCAGTGCTGAGAAATGGTCGAGCTGGTTGCACACGGTGTCCAGGCAAATTTCCCATGATTTGATTGTACACAATTGGCCTTGCTCTTCTGCATCTTAAGCATTGTTGTATTACAGCTCTGATCAAGCTTTTTCCTTTGAGGGGCCAAAAACGCTGCCTCACTTGTGCCAGCAATGCTTGGGCGCCACAATGATAATTGTCCTTATGTATTTTTTCTACCAGCAACTTTACTAGTGGATCGTTGCTGGGTAAAATCATTTGATGAATGGCATCAAATTGTAGTTTTGAAGAGCTTAGCCGTCCGCCAACACGTATTACCCCTTCTTCATCTACGAACGGAGTTAGTGAACTGAGGTTATGAGTTTTTGGCACAAATTCGTCCTTAACTAGCATTTTCCTTAGATCAGAAAAATCGGAGGCCTGGATTTGACGTATTATTATCTTAAGTGCTACGTCGAGCTCCATCGGTGAAAGCTGCATGGTCTCTGGTCTTGATTCTTTTGGTTTCCGTGCGTTTTTTGTGAAACGAAGTACATATCCAACAACCTTTTGGACATGTGTAAATAAATTTCTTGAATGAATCGAGTAGACCCATGCATGCTCATTAGTAGGTTGTTGTGTTGATAAAGCAAGCACCACCGTGTTATCTTCAACAATTAATTCCCTTTTGAAGGGAGCTGGCCACAGCGGCTTTGGCTGATATAAAAATAGTGGACCATATAACCACATGTAGCAAGATGAAAATTCCCGCGGTTTAAGCCCTCTTGACAGAATATCTGCCGGATTTTGTTTTGACGGGACGTGACGCCATTGTTCTGGAATTGTTAACCGAAGTATTTTTACAATTCGGTGGGCGACGTAAACGGGTAATTTGCCTGGATGATTGTTTATCCAGGAAAGCACAATTTGTGAATCTGTCCAAAAGTAAGTTGCCTTGTCTTGATAGCCTAGATCAAGTTTAACTCTTGCCATGAGTTCTGCTGCTAGCAACGCTGCACACAATTCTAGTCGTGGAATTGTTTGAGATTTTATGGGTGCTACACGAGATCTGGAGCATAGTAGATTAAGTTTTATCGTTTTATCCTTTTGTACTGTTCTAATGTATACTGCTGCACCATAAGCCTTTTCTGAGGCGTCACAAAAAGCGTGCAGCTCAACATGGCTGTAGCCTTGACTGCTGAATACGTGCCTCACAACTGTTGCATTGTCCAACAAGGCCAGATCTTCTCTATACGATGTCCATTGTTTACGTATTTCTGACGGAAGATCATCATCCCAATCGAGTTTTAGCTGCCATGCTCCTTGCAACAAGATTTTACCGGTGACCAAGATTGGACCAATAAGACCCAAAGGGTCATATATGTGTGCCAAATCGGAGCTCATAGATCGTTTTGTTGTGTGACTATGGTCTCGAATGTTAACCTTGATACGAAATGAATCTGACTTTGGTAACCATAAAAGACCCAGCGTCTTTGTGAATTGGGTTTCCTTGGAATCAAAATTGAGATTTACTTCTTGATCTTCTGTAGCGATTCCATGTAAAAGTTTTGGGTTGTTTGCACACCATTTTTTTAGTTTCATTCCAGCCTTGTCTAGAATTGTTATTAATTGTTGTTGAATTAGTAACGCTTCGTTGATGGTATCAGCTCCTATTAGACCGTCGTCAACATAAAAATCCCTTTTTAAAGATGTGGCGCCATATAAATAATTTCCTTGATATTCATCCGCCAATTTTGTTAGACAGCGTGTTGCTAAATATGGTGCTGCTCTTGTGCCATAAGTAACTGTGTTCAACTGATAATAATTAAGTGGTTCTGTGGGATTTTCTCGCCACATTATGAGTTGCAGATTTCGATCATCTTTGTTAACCCATATTTGACGGTACATTTTTTCCACATCAGTTTTTAAAACATATTTGTGCATTCTAAATCTGAGCAAAATCGAAAACAGTTCGTCTTGAACTTTTGGACCATTAAACATTATGTCATTTAGTGATGGCCCTGATAATTTGTGTACTGATGCGTCAAATACAACTCGCAGTTTTGATGTTGAGCTGTCTGGACGTAGCACACAGTGGTGAGGGATGAAATATTGGGGAGATACTATTTCGCTACCGCTGAATTTTGTCATGTGTCCCAATGCTTCATATTCCCTCATAAATGAAACATATTGATTCTTTAGATCAGGATTTTGAATGAAACGGCGCTCGATTGTCTTGAACCTCTCGTAAGCGATTCCTTTTGTATCTGGTAACACTGATGGATGATTCTTTAGTGGGAGTTTTACAACAAATCTGCCATCACTTCCTCGAAAAGTGTGTTGCAAAAAATGTGACTCACAACGCAATTCGTCTTCTGTGAGTTCCGAAGTTGAATCTGGAATTTCTTCTGATTCCCAGAATTTCAATATAGATTCTTCTAGTTCCTTAGTAGTGCATATGCCACAAGTTGCCGTGCTTGAATTTAAAGTTTCAACATTGCCAGCTACAACCCATCCAAAAATAGAATTCTGAAGTGTTGGAAGACTACCTGCTAGTTTTATTTGACCTTCAATAAGTAACTTGAAAAAGATCTCTGCTCCTAACAGGCAATCTATTCGGCCAGGTTTGTTAAAATCTGGATCAGCGAGAGTTAATTCCTTTGGAATATCCCAGGATTCGATATTCAAATACTGCATTGGCTGATCTGAAACGATTTTTGGTATGATATGTGCATCCATCTCTGCTACAAATTCGTTCAACGTTGATTGTACTCGAATTATTGTTTGATGACGTATTTTTGATTCATTTGCTCCTACGCCTTCCATACTCATAAGCGTTGGCCTAGGCTTGCAGCCCAATTTTTGTGACAGGCGGTTTGTTATGAGATTGATTTGAGAGCCAGAGTCCAATACTGCTCTGCATTCAATTTGTCTTCCATTTGATGCCAGCAATCTTATTCTGGCCGTCCCTAATAAGACATAATTAGATTCCTGTTTGGTATTGTTTGTTAAAAGAGTTATTTTATTTGATGATTGGTTTGAAACTGAAGCTTGACCTGTTTGTTGAGGCGTCGAGTTATTTCCTTGAAGAACAGTACCTTTTGTGTATTGATTCCCCTTTGGATTATGCATCAAAGTGTTATGTTTTTTAGAACACTTAGTGCAGTGCCTGGATTTACA